GGGGCAAGCACTATGGGCAGTCTATCTGAAGTGTACCTGGCATATAAGACGACCCCCCACTTGGAGGCATATTTTTCAGGGCCAAAAAATCGTCTTATACACCGGCAAATACGGTAAACACACACACACAAAAGTACTGTAAATAAACTATTCTTACTTTTACAGTTACCTTAAAATGGTGTTACAGTACAGTACAACTGGCATATAGGGGATTGCTTTGAGTGAACTGACAAGAGCACACACGTGAGCTATTGGGTTGTCAGAAAAGTCATGACGTATTTTTTGGTTTTCATTGCAAAAATGCATCATGACTTTTCCGACAATCCAATACTTCCGCGATTTGTTCGCATCTATGAATGTTTGTAACGCGAGGTCCACTCGTATCTGTGAAACTTCACAACTCGAATGTTCGTAAGTCAGGGACTTACTGTACATGGGTTTGAATCTTAACCAGCTATTGACCAGCTAGGTGATCATCAAGTTACTTGGTCTCTGTCAGTCTCGGTCCCCCTCTTCTGCTAAATCAGGAATTGGAATATTACCTGCTTTAGTGTGAAAAGAAACACTCCAACTACTCCCAAAATGGGGGCTGGGGATAATTTCACTGTTTTCTAAAAAACCTATCTGTATGGTTTAAATTTTTTTTTTACAACATGTATATAATTTTAAAACACAATGAAGAGTTTTAAAATAAAAACATCTAGGCGACTGGCAGAGTGGCTCAGTTGGTTAAGAGCTCACTCAAGAGTGCGAGCTCTACGCAATTTAGCGGTTCGATTCCTGGCCTTGAGCTGAGCTGCCGCTGAGCTGCCAACAGGTGGCAGGATGGCTCAGCTAAAAAAAAAAATAAATAAAAACATCTATTTTATATGGTTCTTGTAGAGCCATTTTGTGAGATATCTACACATAGGAGACTCCCAATTAAAAATAATTTCCTCACTCCTTCCATAGCCCTTCCACCTTCTTGAATTCAGATGAACAAGACTTGGAAGAAGCAAGTTAAACATTTATTTTTCTGAAGGCAATGGTTATCAAGAAAGAGATAAACAAGGGCAATAAAACTACGCTTTTAAACCACTGTCCTCAAAACTACCAAGGAATTCCATCTGAAGAGAAAAAGATATCCACATGTTTACTGACTCCAATTACTTTATTCTGAAACTTTAAGGTTTTTTTTGGGGGGGGTGCAATGTAAATGATAATTATCAAGTGAAAAGTAAATTCGGGATTCAGTTCAGAAGATATTTTTCACTGAAAACCACAATACAAATATAAATGACTATTATTTATCTAGCAAATAAGGTAAAATATCAGCTCCACCTTTTTTGCTTTCAGAATATACCGAGATAAAGTAATGTAATTTAATTGATCTAGATTGTCACCTTATACTTTGCAGAATATTATGAGAATTAAGAACATTCTCTTCCATATTCTAATAGATGAGTGAAGTGAATGTCAGGAAGCAAAGTAATCCTGCAGGTCAAAAAGTTGGCTTTTAAAACCACCAAAGTATCGTCCTTATAAGAGACACCCACAGGAGAGACACAGGCAGAGGCAAAGGTTAAAGTTATGCAGCTACATGCTAAAGGATATCTGAAGCCACCAGAAACTAGAGGAGACAAGGAAGGATCTTCCCTTGAGCCCTCCGGAGCTCAGCCCTGCTGACACCTTAATTTTGGACTTCTGGCCTCCAAAATTGTGATGGTAGATTTCTATTGTTTCAAGCCACCATGTTTGTGGTAATTTGTTGCAGCAGCCCTATGAAGCTAATATACCATTCTTCTGATAGTCATGTACAGTTACTGGAAGGAATGACACGTCAAAACATTTACTCAGTGCCTGACAGAAACCAAGCAACTTGTTCTTGTGCATTTTAATTATCATGCATCCAGCTTAGAAGACATCTGAAGGGAAATAAAATACAGGATATGAAATAAACATATCCTAAGGCAAAGTGTTTGCTAGTTAAAACAGAATAGCAACAAAATGTTAACCTCACCTTCTGAAGGAATTTCCTGACAAATAGATATAACTCAACTTTGGACTTGATTTTTTTATCTTTGTCCATTCACTTAAGTATTTTATTGAATTCAAGTTCTCTCTTATGAGTTAATTTAATTAAATGCAATTTATAAAAAACGGGACAAAAATCACCAAAGTACATTGGAACCACTAAAGCTGATAATGTGGCCTTTGGTAGCGTGTCTTAAAGACAGAGACATTAGACTTTACAAGCATCAAACTTACCATTCGGAGTATAGAACGTCAGCATTTCTCATCAAGTATGCGTAAGTACTTCAAGTTTACTTCATGTTTACAAATCCTGCCCTGGACCATTTAATATATACATTACTGAGAATTTCCTAGAGTATTACTGCATTTCTATAGTGTCTTTGTTTGTAGACTATTTCAAGAGCATATTTCTGTCAACATAAGAAATGTCCAAACCTGAAGAGAATTTAAGAGTTTATTTGAGCCAAAAAGAATGATGACAATTGCCAGGAAGCAAAATCTCAAACACTCCTGAGAATAACGGTTTTGCAGTTTTCTTTTATGCATTTGGAATTAAAAAACGAAAGTAAGAAAGGTTACACAAGAGTGGGAGAAAGCAAGGAGGGGAGTTCAGATTCTGTGTTCCATTTAGAAACAGGGGGTCTGAAAAGAGGCATTTCAAAGGTGTGTTAACCTAGATGCACAGAAACGAAGGGCAGGGCTTGCTTAAGGCAAAGGTAAGTAAGCCTTTTACTAAAAAGTTATATGCCTGGGGCATGACTACCCACCATGACCTACCCAGTTAGGAATTTATGATGTATTACAGCACTATTCTTGTCCACAAAGGGGAAGCACAATCAGTAAATTTTATAAAGCTACAACAGTGATTTACATAACTATTTTATCTCAACATCACTGAGTGGTTGAAAGGGACAAAATTAAAAATTGAAAGTGGTAAAAAACAGTCCATAAGGGATTCCCCAGCTCCCAGGCTGTCTCTTTTCCAGTTTCTGCAAGCCACCTCAAAAATCCAACTCAGGATGACATTAAGTGCTCCGCAGTCCTGGTGCAAACAGCCAAGCCCGTAGCCGGCCTTCAATCGCTGCTTCTCCGGCTCGCTTCAGGACTGCCGTAAGAGTAGCCCAGGGGGTGGCAGGATGGCCGCCCCGCCCGACAGAGGAAAGGAGGGACACCCATTACTCAGTCCCCGGGCCCGCCGCCAGACCGCACCACCTTCATCCGGGCGCAATCCCCAGACCTGCGTCTCAGCGCCCTCCAGAGGCAGGCACGCGCCTTCCCCGGGCAGACCCTCTCCCCATTAAGGCCCCCTCCCCCAGAAAGCACCCCCACACCCCCGTCTCCCCCGCAAGGCCCGGGCTGAGCACAGACCTGAGACACCACCTCCCAGCAGATTCAGTCAGCCTGCGGGGGCCCTCGCCCCGCCCCGCGGCACCACGAGCATGCGCGGTGGGCCGCCCCTCGCGCGCGCGCGCCCCTGCGCGCCCCTGCGCGCCCCAGCCGGCACGCGCCGCCGTCTGGGAGGCCAGGCGAGGCCAAGGCGGAGGCGGAGGCCCGGCCCTGGGCGGTACGCGCCCCCCCCCCGCCCTGCCATTCACCGGCGAGGTTGGCCCACAGCCCCAAAGTCGGTCCTCCTGGTTAGGCGGCGAGCGCCGGAGGGGAGGGGACAGCTACTAAGGCAGGAAGCTGCGGCTTAAAAGGGCAGCCCGCGCCGGGCCCTTCCTCCCTCCCTCCGTTCCAAAGCCTCCTAAAGCGCTTCTGTTTCGCGGCCTCCGCCCCGCCGCCATGTACCGCTGCCTGGGCGAAGCGCTGCTGCTGTCCCGCGTGGGGCCCGCCGCCCTAGGCTCGGCGGCGGCCGACTCGGCCGCGCTGCTGGGCCGGGCCCGCGGACAGCCTGCCGCCGCCCTGCAGCCAGGGCTCGCGCTGTCCTCTCGGCGACACTACAGCGAGGCGACGGCCGACCGCGAAGACGACCCCAACTTCTTCAAGATGGTGGAGGGCTTCTTTGACCGCGGTGCCAGCATCGTGGAGGACAAGCTGGTGGAGGACCTCAAGACCCGGGAGAGTGAGGAGCAGAAGCGGAACCGGGTGCGCGGCATCCTGCGGATCATCAAGCCCTGCAACCATGTGCTGAGCCTGTCCTTCCCCATCCGGCGCGACGACGGCTCCTGGGAGGTCATCGAGGGCTACCGGGCCCAGCACAGCCAGCACCGCACGCCCTGCAAGGGAGGTGAGCCCTGACCCGAACCCCTCGCGCCCTTCCCCGCGGCCCGGCCTCCTGCCAGCCCCGGGGCCACAGCTCGGCCCAGCCGGGCGGGCACTAGCCCCTCCCCCACGTCCTCATGCCAGCCCCGGCCTCGTTTGTGTCAGGCTTGCGTGAATTAGTGATTTTTTTCGCCTTAACCAACCCACCACAATGTTGGTCCTGCCTCCCTCCCCCGTCAGGCATCATCTGGATTTCTGCCTATGTTGATGCTGTGTGCAGAATAGACACTGCACCGCTCTTTGGATCCTAGTGTGTGTGACATACAAGGTGGGTCCTGACGAAATGCACATCTAAAAAAGAGAATAACCGGCCCATCGGTGCCTCTTGCAAGTTTTTGTGGGCTTCTAAGACTGACCCGAATGCAAACTATGAAGTACCTATTTTCTGATTGTTTTCACTTTTTTACATCAGTGACAGATGATACAGGAACATACAAAATTGTCTTCTAGGTTTGAAATCTAGACAGTCTTATTAACCAAGTGAATTCACTAGTTACGCTTTGATCTTTTAAGTTATTTTTCTATCCTGATAGCGTCTTTTTCGCACAAAATAATAATAATACCTGAGCAGTGTAACATCTCTAACAAATAAACACTGGGCGTCCTGACAGTAAATCTAAAGGGTGTAGACTGCAGAATGGCCTGCCAGCCAATGGAATGAAATAGCCCCGGGGGTGTGTGCCGGTCGGGCTAACTCCAGATTTGAGCTTGTGGAAAAGATAAGTACGAGGAGAAAGGAGTTGAGTCGGTTACGATTTGGTAACCACCAAGTAAGTTGTGTACGTAGTTTAAGTTTTTGAATGTTGATTTGGCTTCTGCATTCGGGTTGCTTTCTTTGAGCAAATTAAAGCTTTTTTTTTTTCCTCCAATAAATTGCACAATACATCTTTCAAGGTGCTTAAAAGTAACCTAAAATACAATAATAGAAAGGGAGGTGAAGAGGCTTGCTGGAGGTTTCACAGAGGCTTTAGGGCTGTGCCCTTTGTCTCTGTAAGCCTGATACAGGGTTCTATTATACCAACTGACTTATAAGGATAATTTTTGGAAATCTCTCTACCAGAAAAAATTGAGCTCTGCTGGCATTCTCATCGGGGAACAAAGGTGGCTTCAAACTGTTTAATGATTTACTTGCTAAATTCACATTGACCCCACCCTCTTGTACAAACCTTTAGAGCCTAATTATCATCTAGCTGTTTCCTCTTCTAAAACTGTTTGAGTCATTTTGACCTCTAATTTCCCTTTCCAGCTCCAAAATTATATAAAATGTACATTGTCCATCTCCTACATCCCCTTCCTTATTCCTGCCACTCCCTTATTCTCTAAAACAAGAGTACAAGTTCAGAATCACAAGAAAAGCAAACAAGGATATTGGAGGAAGAAGCAAAGTTAGCAAATACTAAATTGCAATCATTCTTTAAAATGGATGTAAAGTTCGTGTTACTATCTTGTTAGCAGTATTTTCCACTCGCTTAAAAGATGAATAAACTAGTATATTTGTTTTTTTCTGCAGGGTCTGATTTAGTTGGACGTTCTTTATATTCTTTATATGCCAAGCCCTCTCCTATCTTTATAAATCACAACTCGACAAACTCACTAAAGTTTACCATAGTTTTGTCAGTCCTCTTCGTCTTGTTGCCACAGCAGTTTTAATACCAAAATATTGAACCTAGCAACAAATTGCATCAGCCATCCTGAAGCACTGTTATTGTAGACTCAGTACTAGAATCTTGTACTAGAATGTAATATACAATTCTGTTAGATTATCCCATTTACAAGAAGGCATGCTATTGAAAGTACTGTTAACTCTCAGCATATAAACAGAAACTGAATTGCAGCTAATAGTAGCAAGCATTGCAAGATAATATAAATGAAAATTGGCTTCTTTATATAAAGTGATAGGTTTATTCTCTTTAGGAATTCAAAAGACTGGAGAATAGGAGGGGCCGGGGATTGTAAAGCTATGAAAGCCCTCAAAAATATTTGAGCATGCTTAAGATAGTCAACAGTATGCTAAAGGGATGATGAGCAAAAATTTGGATACTGTAGACTTCCATGCTTTGCTTTCATGACACTTAGGATCTTCCTACCCATTTATCATCATTGTCTGATTGCAGGGAATGTATATTTTAAAAGGAACTTAAACACTTAAAGCTTTTTTTGACTTATAAGAAAGTTGTTAACCTCCTTGGTTTTACTTTGGTCTTAGAAATACAGAATATATTAGGTAATTGAGATTTTAAAAGATGCTTTGGATAATCCCTATACCCTTCACTGAGTTTTTTCTTCTGAAAGCATACTTTAAGCATACCTTAAGCATACTTTAGCATACTTTAGCACACTTTTCTCTCCCCACCTTTACTCAACTGCCTTCTCTACCAGTGTTCTTTGCAAAATAACAACAACTTGTCTGTTCCTCTTTATCCTTTTCCCAACCCTCAGCTTTCTGTATCTAATCTTTCCTCAAGAGTGTGACCTTATACCTGAGTTTTCTGAAATAAAATTCACAAGGTTGAAGCAAAGCAACAATCCAATTACAATCACTGTAAGGGAAACAGGTGGTTTTAGGACCTGAGGGGGGCCAATGTGTACTTTATACCAGGTAAATATTTAATAATACATATTGTTTTTGTGCTTCTCTTTTCCCACAGACCAGGGATCAGCAAACTGCGGCTCAAGAGCCACATGCGGCTCTTTGGGTACGTTCTGTCTCAAGTTTGCTGACCCCTGGAAGAGCCGATCCTTTCCCTCACAACAATTTAAAAATTATTCAAGAACCATAAATATATTTTTGCATAATCACCATTATGAGAATAATATCCTTTAAAAATTTTATAAATTAAACTATGATAGTTTTATTTTATTTTCAGTTTTACTTCAGAGCCACATGTACATACCCAAAAGGCCGCATGTGGCTCACAAGCCACAGTTTGCTGACCCCTGGCAGCTCTTCCGACCCCTGCCATAGACCATATTTAACTGAATCCATTAGATTTGCATCTAATTTGCAAAAGTGTGCAGCAGACTTTGAAGGGACATTTTAAGGGAGTCCTTAATATTTTCAGCAAAGATGAACATTGTGGGAATTTCTGCTTTTATTTAGATTTTTTTCAAAAGCTCTTATTTATGTGTTTGAAAACATCCGTAATTGTTTTGTTAACTTTCTCAGACTAAATTATGGTTCTGCCTGAGACCAATCTAACTTTTTAGAAGGAAGCTTATCATTTGAAAGTCCATTTGAGGGGAAAGAACAGATTGATAATAGCAATTCATTGCTGTAGGAGCAATTGAACTTTCTCTTCCAGCCTGACCACTCCCCACCCCTTGTCTTCTATTAAAACTATTAAGTCGAAATTCCCTGTGACTAACTCTGCCTATCATAGAATTTTCTAAAATTATCATAATTTAAATAGAGTTGATGGGTTGTAAATGGAATCCTCTGATACATTAACTCTAAATCTTTTATTTATTTATTTTTTAGAGCAAAGATTTTTATTGAAGCGAAAGCACAGCTCTCTTACGAGAGGGGGGTACCCAAATTGGGATGTCCCTAAATCTTTTATTTAAATACAAATATCAGTACCAAAAAAAAAAAAAGTGTACTCTGTTAACACATTGATTTGTTTTTTAAAAGCCAAAATGCAAAAAGAAGCAATAGGAGGTAGGTGGTCTTTGTTCTTGTCTTGGGCAGCTAAGGCTTGGAGATAATGCAGTATTAGTCCCCCTCAACCTCTGGGATATAATCGTGTTGGTGCATGGTAGTGCTTTGGAAAAAACTGCAGAAATTCGTACTGATATGTCTTCATTGAAAAGAAAAATGTCTGACTTCTCTATGCTGAATTGACAACCAACAACATTTGGGTAACTTTATAAACTCACACTTCCTAAAGTGTGAGTGTGTATCTGCATCTTCTGCCACAAGATAAAATGTAGACTTTGTAGGTAAATTAAATTTAGGATTAACTCAATCTGAAAGTTCAGTTAGATGACAGGTAATTTGTATGTCTTCTATCCCCTAGCCCTGAGGTTTTATTGTTACAGTTGTTTATAATACTTTTTAATTAAATAAGGAACTGTGTTGCGATTATACTTCAGAAAAAAAAAATGGGACAAAAACGGAAGCCAAATACCTCTAAACACCCTTCACCCCTGCCAAATATACTAAGGAAGGAAAAGCTAAGATAATGGTG